GAACAACGTAGCATTATAAAAATTAGACAGAGAAAGACGAAGATGAGACTGATGATGATGGTGACGATGACGATAATGATAAACAAGAAGATGGTTGTGATGATGATGAAAATGATGATAATGATGGTAATGATGATGCTGATGATGAAGAAGAAGAAGATGATGATGATAATGATGAGGATGAAAAAGATGATGATGATGATGTCGGCAATACCAAAGATAGAAGGATAGTAATGTTTACATTCCACAAACAAACAAACAAACAAACAAGCAAACAATCTCATTGGAAGTTGTTGCACCATGGCAGACATACTTGATGTGTTGGATATTGCTGGATGTGCGTGCATGCAAGTTCGGTAGGCCCAAACGTTCACACGCATTTCCGAATATAAAAATAAAACATTCCTTTTCTCCTTCTCGTCATCTTCATTGCCATCATCATCGTCATCTTCGTCATCAGTATCACCATCACTCTCATGTATGTCCTCATTCGTATCATCAATATCCCACCGCTTCGTTACATTTTTAATCTTATTTCACTGGCATTAAAGTGAATTAATTAAAACAACCATGAATTTTTCCTCTGACAAAACAGTTTTCATTGCCTTACTTTATATGCAAATTATGCGTTTCTAATAAATCACACGACCAGAACACATGACCACACATTCCATGACATCAAATGACCGCATGACAGCATGACCACACCACACCACATGAACACGCCATATCACTTGAACTTGGACAATGAGCTTGAGGAAAAAAATCTCGCTAGGAAAACAGCTGCAGTGAAACGTCAAACATGTGACGTTGACGTGACGTCAAATGATGGTCTGAAGTAGCCTGATGTGTACAGTTTTGTGTACGTAGGTTTATGTTAATGTTATGTTAATGTCATCACGTTGTGCACGTAATTGTGCAAAAAATGTATTCCAACATGCGAATATTTTTTTATTGTTTTTTTGTATTGTACTGTATAGTATTGAATTGTAATGCATTGTTTTATACCGAGTTGTATTAGGTCGTATTGCACGTACTACGTTGTAATGTAGTTTTGTATTATAGAATGACCACCAGCAATGTATAATGCAATACAAAGATTATATATGTGGCCTGATCTTTTGTTATTAGGTATATATTTTGTGTTCATTTTATCATATTTTATGTTAATTTTTTAAATTTTACATTAACTTGTCCTATATCTACATCCGTAAATATCACGTTTGATACTATCACGCATTGCAAACTTTCCAGACCCAATTAATTTATCGTTACATCACAATTTTGCAACAGACACTTGAAAGTCATTGAACAACACTCGTTACTTTTCACGTGATACAATTTTTTACAATGTGATATACTTCAAAATTCTTCAAATGAATTAATGCCTATGTGAAGTTAAAAATGAAAGAATATAAAAAGTTTAAAATTTATTGGCTCACTGATATTTATCAAGGATTTCTGATAAATGTTTAAATTACATTGTTATTTTTATTACACGATTATGAATTTCTGGTGAAAATTGTTTTGATAAACAATGTATGAAAAACCACAAAAAATAACAACAGCTATATTTTTAACACCACCAACGAAAGAATTTCGTTATTATTATAATGAGTGTTACAAAAATGATTTTATAAAGATATTTTTCAGTAAATAACAAATAGAAAAAATCATTCTGAATAATAAGCAAACTCATGTCTATGTAGGAAATTTTTAGCTAATGTAAACCGCGATAAACATTCACCAATAATCATCGTCATCATTTTATAGCTAAAAAAAATCACCAATTACATCAAAATCGTCATAAGTTACATAAAAATTTACCAATTACATAAGAAGAAATTTAGATATAACGTAGAAAAAATATCAGGAATACATCTGTGAAAAGTTATGTACAGCCATTTATTTATGTCATCAACATTGATACTATTAGTATCTTTTTATTTTATTACCAATCGACTAAATGTTTGTAATATAAACAGTCTCTCTCTCTCTCTCTCTCTCTCTCTCTCTCTCTCTCTCTCTCTCTCTCTCTTTCTTTCTTTCTTTCTCTCTCTCTCTCTTTCTCTATCCTCTCTCTCGGTATATAAACATTACATATGTGTACATTCACAAAAAATTAATGTAACTACCTTTTAAGAAACATACAATCAACACAAACTAAACAAATAAATATAGGAAGTCCAGGCAAAATTGTGTTATATTTATTTTTTGTGATTCTGAAAAGTTTGAATAAGACGGCTATAAAATATTTAGGCTTATATTTGAAATAAAAAAATAATATTTGTAGACGCATACATTCGCACAATAAAGTACAATAACGTTAATCTTATAAATATCTTATTATTTTTAGCTTTATCGTGTTAATGTTTTCTCAAGTTGACGATTATGTTTTTGTAAATCAAATAAAATTCCAGTGTTCAAGTAAGTAAAATTTATATCATCAAGGGCATAGGCCTACTGTAGTATATCAACAAGTGTGTTTTATTTGAATTACGAATTAGCACAGCACGCCTAAGTTGCATTAATACACAATGATAAATTTCAATTTTTTTCTGCCAACTTTCAATAATTTTAGATAGGCTGACAATGGCAATCATAAATAAAAATAAAGAGCAATGTTGTGCTAAGGTGTAATAATACATTCCCGCCAACTGCATTGACTGATGCATGTAAGTATTACTCTCTGCTAAAAAAAACAATTTACTATTTTCTTGTTCAGACAATCACTTATTTTATTATGGAAACAAAAATTAAACTCATGCTAATGAAACTTTATAACTTTATTTAGTTATTAGTTATTACCAGCCAATCAAAGAACAATAAAACTGCACTAAATGACACCTACCTACTTATTTACCAATTCTGCCTTACATCATATACCATGCTTGTATTAAACTGGGTCGAAACAAATCAGCTCGCCGAACAATTAAAACGAACTTGCGAAATACGGGCAACAAAAGCTAGAAGAACGGAACACAACAACATGCAATTAGTTTTCAGTGCTAACACATTCACTGGCATAATTTCTTCCAAACTATGTAGGATAATATAAACGGTGTGTCTAACACGAACCAAATGGAACAGGCACGGACATGGCTCATTTCGCCTCAATTTTATTTTCGCATGTAGAGAATTACCTGATCTGTGCTCAAATTTTCAACGGATAAGGTTTTATCGCAAATTTGTTAAGTGATTGTACTTTGTGACAAAGAGCGAAACAGTTTTGAAATGTTTTTTGATATTTCGTGAAAATATCACCTACTTAATTTCATGCCTTGTGCTTAATGCCCAGTGGAATGAAATGAGATGCGGAATACTCAAGTTAATAAAAAACTTAATAGCATAAATTTTAAAACTTTAAATTAAAAATCGGTCCAAATATCTGAATAAACTAAAAGACGGGTTTGGCTCCTCTAGATGTAGTTAAATTGTTAAATGTTAATTGGATTGTTTCAAAGAGAGGATCCACTACCCAACAAGACAACGGTAAACTGACATCATGGCTGTCTAACAAACACACTGGTCAAACTTCTCCTTAGCTTTGAAATTACAAAATTTTTAATTTAATCTGCTAGATGGAAAGAACAGATAAATATCCCTTGTAGTTTTTAATAAAAAAAATAATGAAAAACCAAAGATAATTGTGAAATAGAATATTTTTTAAAATCATAACAGTGAGTAACGCGTCGTCGTCATCAAAATTATGAAATGGATTACATTAAGAATTATGTTACATTGATCAACAATCAAGTTAATAGATGCGTGAAGCTTTAATCAATTAAACAGACATAAATACAAAATAGACAGCTCTAAACTAATTAAATTAACCATACATCATCCAAAGATTAATAAACGTTACGAACAACTTTTTCTTAAGTCCAAGAAATACGTGAATTATTTGAAGACCATGTCAGAATCAAAACAAAGACATCAGAAATGTTTCAACGTGACAACACTGGGTAACGAAGAAGTTTAGTTTTTATTACATTAAATTATCCTTAACGATGAAATCACGACCCGAGATTAATTATTAATTAAAAGCGTTTATTTTATAACGTGGCCGACTGACATCAGTTAATTGTATATGAGGCACGCACGAGAGGATAGATAACTTGTAAACTACAAAAATATAAGATGTGTAAAGTTAAAAGGTACGATTGTTATCTCTAGCCGAATGCAACGCAACAACTTAAATGAAATACAGATAAAATATAATTCAATCAAAATAATTTCACGTAAAAAAGGATTATATAGCAAAATCTAAAAAAAAAAACATCGATGAATATAACAATCATTATCCAGCCAAATAATGAACGAACGATAAAAAAGAATGGATATTTTATTTACGTAGTGTTACAACATAATTTCATTATGTACATACATTTAATGGAATAGCGTTATTATAAGAAATCCTGTTATAATAATATCAAGTGAATGAAATTTCCTTAGGATAATCGTTTAAAAATATCTTTGAGCACATATTTACACTTGAAAACCAAAGTTGATCAATGAAAATATGATAAAATTAGAAAAGTAAAAATAATTAAAATGGATACTGTCAATCAACCAACCAATCAACCGTTTAATCAATCGATCAATTGAATGATTGATTGGCTGAATAATCCACATAATTAAAGTTTGTTTAGTGAAGAAATCAATCAATAACTGAAATTAATTGGAAGGTCAATGAAAATTGGAAAAGTGAAGAAACACCACCTTCATGAAACAACTGGATCGATCAATCGTGCAATTCAAGCTCTATCACACAAGTAGTTTTATTTTTAAAATTCTAACTAAAATACCTTTAATAAAAAAAATTTAATTCCAACATTATAAATAAATTAATAATTTTCAAGTTTGTGAATGTATAAAACTATAAATGAAATAATAATTAAGAAATAGATTATTTTTGATAGGCAATTTCAGAGACGCAGCACCACGTCTCACGGAACGACAGCCATTCGTGCACATCTTCATTTAATCAGCTCAGGAAACTATTCCTCCAGTTTTTTTCTCCTACCTCCTTTCTTTTTCTGCCTGCCGTGAACTTTGACCTCATGTGTCAGAAGGTTACAATAATGTTTATAAGCAGCTGGACATAGAGTACAGGTATATTTTGAAGAGGTGAAGTCATCAAAACCATTGCCACAACTGCTGCTGCTGTTGTTGTTGGAAGCATAATTCTGTGAGAGTTGCTGCTGCTGTTGTTGCTGCTCTTGTTGATGTTTCTGGCCAATGGACTGTAATGGGCTGGAAGATGTCAAGCTGTTGTTTGTCTTCAAGTTTATGGCACCAGTTGATTGATGTTTTCTCATATGATCTGTGTATCGTCGTTTCTCGGATTTCATTTTCAACTGAATTTATTAAAAGTATAATTTCAAAAAGACTGACAAAAACTACATAATAAAATAAATAATATAAAAAACAAAAGAACATAACTAAAATACATAAATACAATAATAAAATATAACATAAATAGATAAATAAAACAAGAAAACAAAAGAACATAGAACAAAAGTGACTAACAAGTGAAATAGCAGAATGGTTAGCTCTTGGAACCGGTAACGAGGCCATGTTGTTAGCTGCCCAATCTTCCAAGTCATTGGCTGATGGTTTAACATCTGGAACATCTTCTGCTGATGAGCTTGTGCCATTCACCTGAGATTCAATATAACTAGATGACCAATTTGGAATGCTTTTCACATGCAAGTCTATAGGTGAGTTCTGTTCCATATTCAAATCTAGAGGCAGTTGTTCAGTTGTGTTAATATCAGGTCCTTCAGGTGATGCTGGATCAAGATGAGTGTTGGAATCAATAAAGCTATCTGTAGCTTGCTCGTTTGAAACGTTGCCTTCTGACTCATCAATGTTGTTTGAATAATCATAATTAATAGTAGAAATGTGATAACTGTTGTGAGTGTGAGTATGAGCATGAGTGTGGCCAACAAAATTGTTTACTGTAGGAGGCTCGTGTTCATCTGCTGTCGGGCCTTCACATTGAGAATTTGATGTTTGATTGGGAGATGCAACTGAAGTACTGACCGGTGAAGACTTTTTCAATGTTTCATATTGTTTTGTTTTCTTCTCAGATGACTTTCGCTCAAAGTCTGTAAATCTAGAGCTATCCACAATTTTTTTAGGCTTTTGAAATTTAACATTATCATCCTCAGCTTTGATAACTTCATTGATCTGAATAATGAAAACTTCCTTATCAGCTGTAAGTCCTATTAATCCCTGAACTTTAAGCTCATTACTGAATTGAACTCCATTTTTACACATCAACATTACTGTGTCAGTTAACAAGGCACAAACTCTCTCGTATTGGCTCATTTTTTCTGAGCAAATTGTTAATTCAATTTTTAGTTAGAATTTAGTTTTTAGTTAGAATCATACATAAGCAAAACATGAAAATGAAAACAAATTGAAATTTGTACAAAAACTTTTTTAACAAATTTAAAATATTTTTTTTTATTTATTTATTTTTTTTTTTAAATAAAATAAAAATATAGTAAAATTTATCTATTATATTTTTGGTGAACAATCATGAAAACATTAAAATCCAAAAATATTTTTCCACATAAAAACCGAATCAAAATCTTTAAAACTTTCTATTTGTCAAATAATTTTTCAAAAATAATTGATTCAATACTTAAAACGATAAATAAAAATCGATAAACGACAAAACCTGGATGACAAAAATGGCGCTCCTCGGAGATAGCAAAAAATGGAAGAAAATAGGAGTCAAAAACTTAAATTTCGAATCAACCTGCGGCAAATCGCTTACAAAATTACGTCAAATAAATTCTCAAACTAAAAAACAAAACTACAAAATATCGATTTTTGATGGAAAAAACTTTGAAAAGAACAAAAAAACAGCCACGAATCACATAAAAATAAAATCAGCTCGCAGCACAGCACACATTATAAATAAAAAATTAAGAAAAAAACAAAGGCTGCGAAGAAGAAAAAGAAAGCTTAGGCTGGCTTCACTCACGGCTTGCTGGCTTGGCTTAGAAAAACAATTTTTGGCGGTTTATTGTTCGCTTCTGAATAATTAATCTCTATATATTTTTCATAATTAAATGGTTTTTATTATAACATACACGCTATTTATTTTGTATTTAGAATACATCCGCCTCTTATCTTATTATTGTCGCCATTTTATTGTTCGATTTTATTAGTCGTAGATTTCAAGTAAACGTGATTGAGTACTTGTGTTATTTTTTACGTTACAAGCATACATGTAAAACAGGCAAATGAGATCTATGAATATTCATCGAGTCAATTTAGTACAGTAGACACACAGCACAGTGTTTAGTAGAGTTATATCATCTGTATATCGTGCGCGAATAAAAATGTTAATAAAATTTTATTTGTACTGCGTTGATGTGTAGGGCGCTTTCTAGTCAGTCGAGATGAATTTGAACATACGTGAAATGTATTTTTTATAATATTGCTGTTGAAATAAAAATTTCGGCATTTTTGAAATTCTTCATCGTTATGTTAATTTGTTTTTTTCAATCAGAGAGTTGATGAATCGCTCGCTCTAAAACTGTAAAGCACGACTTGTAACGATTGAAATTAGGTTTTTTTTAAATGTTTTTCGTAGGTTTAATGGCACGTAACCCCCTGCGAGAATTAGTAAATTTAATTCAGTTAAGTCGTGTTCAATCCTAAAATAAAATAAAAAATAATTTTGGCAACGCCCATACAAAATTATAAATTCCTACAGAATATACCAAAAGATTTTTACATTTAAAAATATTTCAACCAAAACGCTTGTTGTTTTCAAAACAGATTTTCTTTGTTAACAACTTTGCGTGGTGAAAATGTTTTCGATGTATTTGTATTGTAATGTTCAGTAAAATTGCACATGGAGGGCAAATTGTAAAAAGGTTGTTACAGGGTTCGACTGTAATAAGATCCATGCTACGTGTGTATGTAATGTACATGTTATTCATAGTATGTGGTGCATGGACACGCTTGAATTCGCATGTGCTGTATGTGTTTTTACAATTATACCTCTGGATTAAATAAGTAATGTACACGCACGTGTATATTCATATATATATATATATATATATATATATATATATATATATATATATATATATTCATATATAAAAACGATGCAATCTATATATATATATATTCATATATAAAAACGATGCAATCTTTCACTTAATCTCAATAAATCATTTGAACTCATCATTCACAATAGCCGTAAAAAATAACATTACCTCCTGAACACCCATCAATTACTCGCACAAATCAACTAAAAATATTAGGCATCACATTCACCTCCACACTCAATATAGCACCTCATATCAATTACATCATCACAAAAGGCTTTCAAACATTTCACGCACTCAAAACACTCCGTTCACATGGTTAGTCTCAGAGGCATCAAATTATTCGACATCACCGAATCACTCATCATCTCACGCATCAAATATGCAGCTCCCTCCTGGTCTGGTTTTGCCACGCAACAACAACTTCAGCAGCTACAATCTCTCATCAAAAAACTAATTCGCTTCAACTACCTACCTGCATCATATCCTACCATCACTCAGATATTCAACACACTCGATTCAAGGCTGTTCAAGAAAATAGAAAATAACAACAACCACGTCATCCATCCTCTACTACCACCAATCAAAACTACAACACACAACCTTTGTCAGCGCAAACATAAATATCAAGTCGCCGCCCAATCTCCCACCAGGAAAAGACCTTCATCACAAGACACCTCAAACATATTAGCACTTAAGATAACTTCATCATTACTGAACTAGTTTTTACTTATTGATCACCTCACTTTTATCGATCACCTCACTAACTCACTAAGTCATCATTTAGTCTATTAATAAGTCACCAAATATATTAATACTCATTAAACTTTTAACACACAGGCCTAGCCTTTATCTATCGATCACCTCATTAACCCACTAAGTCATCATCTAGTCTATCAATTTGCCGTTACTTCATTTTATATTCCATCGTCAATTACTTTTCTTTTATTTGTCTTATTATTATTTATTTTATTCTAACATATTTTATTTTCATGTTTTATCATTTCTCTTCCTCACTTTTTGTATTTATTTTCTCACTTATTTGTTTAATTTTGTTTCACTGCCTTGCATGTTGTTACAGTTTCTGCGTCTGTCAGATCCTGATTTTTAAAGAATAAAAAAAATATTCATATATATATATTTATATATATATACATATACATATATATATATAAATATAAATAAATATAAATATATATATATATATATATTCATATATGTAATTTTAAAATAATTGCTCTTTTTTTAGAACTGAGAGTAGGATAAATTAATATTTTTTAAGTTGTGTTGTAAAAAAAATCATGCCAATTGATATTAAAATATGATATATTATATGATATATTATTGATATATTATGAAATTTTTTAATGAAATCAAATTGTATTAGCAATAATATAATACTGTTATAAAAATTATAAATTAAATGATCCTAAAAGACTTCTGAATTTCTCTTGAAATTGCTTGCAATTACAAAAGGACAATTAACTGCAGATCTATAGAAAATTATTCTAATCGTGGACATGTTGAGATTAAAAACGACATATTAAATTTATGATACGAATAAGAATTTAACGTCGTTATTACATTATTTTTTATATATTTAGCATTTGTTCTTCTAGATAGCAAAAAATCTCAAAATCACTAATTCTTACAGTATATGATGTACTAAGTTTTTTTTTACATTTTAAAACATTTCATTCTGCTCGTAATCTAAAACATCCACGCGAAATTTACACAATCTTTCCGACAGAATTGACACATTTTGAATCTTAACTTAAAACTTGTAATTGTTTAGGAAAACTTGCCAAAAAGTTCAGACAATAAGAAATTGAATAAGGAAAAGTAGAACAGGGAAAAGGAGATAGTAGCAGTTTTGAACTGTGATTCCAAAAAGTGGGGCTGCATGTTCATATAGGATGTCACGCTTTTTTGGTGTTTTCAAGGCTAGACTTAAGTGACGTGACAGCTTACTATATTTATTAAAACAGATTAGTAACTCAATTTGGAAACATTCAATTTAAAATGCAGATTTTTTAAACTTATATTCGTCAACATGAAATGACGTTGAAAAAACAATGGGAAGTTGTAAAAAAAAATTTAGGACAAGAACGAGACGTTAAGCAAGTCAATATTTTCTCATTCAAACGAGAATTTCCTTTCAAAGTTATATTATATGCAGGTGCCATTTTACGACTTGATGTAAGTTGAAGTCTCAAAGCTCTTAGACGGCAGAACACCCGGTCGTGCGTTACAGTGATCGGTTTTGAATCCCTGCCTGTCACATACCGAAGTGTACGATGCATCATTATTCCACTATTATAACTGTGCCTGTTGTCAATATGTACACTGTGTGCTTGCTTAACGTTGAAGCGGTTCTACACAAATCAATCAATCAATCAATCAATCAATCAATCAATCAATCAATCAATCAATCAATCAATCAATCAATCAATCAATCAATCAATCAATCAATCAATCAATCAATCAATCAATCAATCAATCAATCAATCAATCAATCAATCAATCAATCAATCAATCAATCAATCAATCAATCAATCAATCAATCAATCAATCAATCAATCAATCAATCAATCAATCAATCAATCAATCAATCAATCAATCAATCAATCAATCAATCAATCAATCAATCAATCAATCAATCAATCAATCAATCAATCAATCAATCAATCAATCAATCAATCAATCAATCAATCAATCAATCAATCAATCAATCAATCAATCAATCAATCAATCAATCAATCAATCAATCAATCAATCAATCAATCAATCAATCAATCAATCAATCAATCAATCAATCAATCAATCAATCAATCAATCAATCAATCAATCAATCAATCAATCAATCAATCAATCAATCAATCAATCAATCAATCA